GGCCCTGCAATAACCCCTGCTAGCTCCAACACCCTGGAGTGGAGAGCATCTGGACCTGCTGGTTTGAACATGTCCAGCCCCTCCAGAAGCTCTCTAACCCGGTCCTCCCCAACCTGAGGTCTGGAGGCATTCCCCTCGAGTCTGCCTTGCATCACAGTGGGGAAGTCCCGGTCCCTGCCCAAGAAAACAGAGGTGAAGAATTGGTTAAAGAAACAGAGGTGAAGAATTGGTCTTTAAGAGGAGGCTAGATGTACACCTTGCTGGGGTCATTAGACCCCAGTACTCTTTCCTGGTATGGCAGGGGGTCGGACTCGATGATCCGCTCAGGTCCCTTTCGACCCTACCAACTATGAAAGTATTTTGAAGTGGCAGCAAAAAACTGCTATCTAATCTTTATAAATGTGGCAAGCTGGGATTCAGAGAGTAAACCTTCAGAGTAAAATTCAGAGTGTCCTTTGTTCACACAGCAAGTTGTTTTAGCACCAGGCCTACAGCTCTGGCTTCCATTTCAGGTAAAGGCTCTCCCCATGCACTGTACTTGCCTCAGTAGCCTGTAACAAAATCTCTTGGGAAGGGGGAGGAGGAGTAAAGAGTAACTATAGTCTGAGTCTGAATTTGAGATAAGGGGTGTCTGAGAAGGCAAATGTACAGTTGTCAAAGTCCATGATTTATGCTTACTAAGTTTGCGAGATGGAGGCCAGCCCGCATTCTGCAAAAAAATCTGATGGAGCCAAATTACCTCCAAGGAACAGGCTCTTTCTGGGTGTGAGCACATGCTGGACACTACTAAGAAGAATATGCTCAGCCTGTCTGCGCTGTCCCAGATCATATATTAAATGGGGTTAAATGGTGAACCTGAAGCCTGGCAATGTACTTCTACCTCAAGCAAGTGATCTTGATTTAGCTTAGGGCTCATCTACACGTGGTGGGATGATAACTGCACTTTCATATCACATTCTGCCTTAATCTGTTGTGTGGAAAAATCCCTAGTGGTTTTGAAGGTGTGGCAGTCAGCGGACTCTGGAAGGCCTCCTGCATAGTGCAGCTCACGAGTGTGTGTTTCTGGGAGCAAGCAGGGATCCCCCATCTGC